TCTCTGAGGAGAAAAGGTGAAGTGTCATTTTTAATAATTTCCAAGACATGGCACACGAGGTATGGAGATGACGGTAATGCCGAGTACAAATACCAAATTAGTCTTTTGACCAGTAATATTATCATGTCATAAGCCGATGTTACATGGTACAGCAAAATGATAATCCTGACCCGTCTTCCAGAAGTGATAAACAGAACACATACTGCAAGTGAGGATTTACATAATACAACCACGCAAACAAATAAAACAACATTGTGACAGGTGACTATTAAACTAATATAATGAGTGCTTAGAACAAATTTATTTTAACACACTCTGGTCAGATCTGTCGTTATCTCAACCCTCCGAGCCCCAAGTTGGGCACCAAAAAAGACTGTCATGGTTTAACCCCAGCTGGCAACCAACCATCACACAGCCGCTTGCTCACCCTCCCCCTCAGTGGGATGGGGGAGAGAATCAGAAGTAAAAGTGAGAAAACTCTTGGGTTGAGATAAGAACAGTTTAATAATTGAATTTAAAAAATAATCATAATAATAAAAAATTGTAATTTAAAAAAAAAAGACAGAGAGAGAGAACAACAAAACCCAGGAAAAACAAGTGATCAACCACTCACCGCCTGCAGACCAACATCCAGCCAGTCCCTGAGCAACAATCGCTGCCCCCCAGCCAACGCTCCCCAGTTTATAAACTGAGCATCACGTCGTATGGTATGGAATATCCTTTTGGCCAGTTTGGGTCAGCTGTCCTGGCTGTGCCCCCTCCCAGCTTCCTGTGCACCTGGCAGAGCATGGGAAGCTGAAAAGTCCTTGACTAGTATAAACACTACTTAGCAACAACTAAAACATCAGTGTGTTATCACATTATTCTCATGCTAAATCCAAAACACAGCACTGTACTAGCTACTAGGAGGAAAATTAACTCTGTCCCAGCCAGAACCAGGACACAAATATAACATTAAGAAGCCTTGGAACAAGAGGGCTATTTCGGATTTATGTTCATTTCATTTATTTTCTGATTTTAAAAGAAATGGGACGAATAATTAATGCTATTCTAAATGAATGTCAGCGATGAAGTGAAAAACTTATCATTTAAAAAAAACCATGAAATGCCGAAGATTGCCTGCTCATCATCAGGGCTTCTGATTTTACAATGACTACGTGGCTTTAAATTAACAAACTGCATAATACAGTAGAAATCAGAGTTTTGTAAATTGGTAATGTCCATACGCAGCAGATGTCTGGGATTACACTGAAACACTCAGCTATGGCAAACAGGTTTTGACATTTCTTTAGAAATTAGCATTTAAAGGTTTGTGGTTAGTGGTTTAGACAAGCTTCCTGAAGACTGCACAAGGCCTTTATTTTCTACTGAACAGGTACAGGTGATTAACAGAATAAAAAATATAAGAATTGAATCAGGTATTTGTAAAAAAGATATTTGCAGAAGACCTCAGTTCTTATCTTCATACATTTTTATGTAGTTGAGTTCATAAATAAGTACAGTAAATACATCTGAGAAAAAGCCCACTGCCTTACTGAAGAAGAAGAAGGAATAAAATACAAAGAATGAAACAGACACATGGAATGGATTTACGTGTCAGACTGGTATTTATTTAAAACAAAGACACCCTAATTTTCTGTGTGCTATTTCTTAATTGTTTTCAAGTCAAGTTATAGGGTCAATTCAGATAAGCTATGCTAACCTAAAGAAAATGGAAACATGAAAGAAACTGTCCTCAACACACTGAACTTCCCTCAGTTCTTTTCAAGGAAGTGATACACAACCAAGTGAGTGAGATCTGAGATCTCGGGGACTTATTTTCTGGTGGCATAGCTTAAGCAGAACAGGTCTCATTTATTTTGGAAGCTGTCACCACTCACAATGTGGCATGCTGATCATTTTTTGTACTCTAATATTAAATGTACACATCCTTATATTTGCCAGTTCCTAATAACCATCTCCTCTGGTTGGGGAAAAGAGCTAGCAAACATTGGATTAATTGGCTAAAGGAAAAATAGAAGAAGAAGAAAAAAAAAAGAAAAAAAGTGTTTCATGATTCCATAAAACAGAATGTGGTGGAATAGACTGACAACTTCAAAAAAAAAAGGCTTCCATTGCAATGCTTAAGTAGGAGGCAACTGAAGCAGGAGGCTTTGTCTTTCAGAAACTGATGCTGAAAATGAAATCAAATAAGTATATAAGGCAGGAAGCAAGGACAACATTTAACTATGGATATTGCATCTTTCTAATTATACTTTTATAGTTCTCTTCACATCCTACTTTTTATTTGTTCTCTGTCGTGGTCCCTGATAAAAATGTCTCTTTCTTATTCTTTTCGTGTTACCAGACTTGGTAGATAGAAGAAAGAATGGAAAATTTTCAGACAGTAAATATACTGTTCTCCACCTATTCCTGTATTTAATGAATTTGTATAGATTAAACCTGACCCGAACTCTGCTTGTTTTCTATGTCAGTGACCCTTCAAAAGTTAGATCAAAACCCATAAGTCAGAATGTTAGATCTGAAATGAGAAAGACTAAAATCGATAGCTAGGTAGGTAGATAGACAATGTCTGTGTAAATAAAAGTAAATAGGAGAATAAAAGTTGATTCAGTGATGCTGCAGCTGTGATAGACCTGGCCCCAGAACATACATTTGGTATCTGTACTCACCTTGCTTGGGTATGTATCATCTCCTGTGTGCCTGGAAGCAGGAGACTGTAAGTGTTGCCATTTGAACTATTATCTAGCATTTGTAAAATACTTCTCCACTGACTACAGTCAGCTAACATAAAATTGGAAGTATAGTTAATACTATTCAGTTTTGCAAATGAAGAGACTTTGAAGAGACTGGTGTAGGGATCACGTTATGTGATTCTTGAAGAGAAGAGTACATGTAGTGAAGAGTTGAAAAATACTTAATTTTTCCAATAACAGCTTTAGTGTTTTTGTAAACTAATTCCATGATGTTTGTGCTTTCCTCTTTGCTTATGTCATAGGGGTGAGGTCAGGGAACAGAAGGATTGTGTTCCCTTGTTACAGGAGACCTTGTTTTTGCTGCTTTCAGCAGTCAATCTCATTATCCCATTTCAAACAATGTTCCTATGAAAGTAGTCCTAGATCTTTTTTGCATTCACTTTTCTACTCGCTGGTGTCCTATAGCACTCCTTCTGAACAAAAGATCCATTTCCAGAAGTTTAGCAAGTGCTTTAATGATGAATGCAACAGAATCCCACTCCCTTTGCCTCTGTGGCAGAGGAAATGCATCCAAGGATGCATTGCTTTTTACCAATCTTTTTTGATTTTTCAATTACTGCCACTATTCTCTCCTACTTGATGGCTTGTCACTTTACTTTTGACAAGGTATTTTCTTTCTACTTCTCTTTCTTCGTTTGCCTTTCTTCTTTCCACAGTTTTGGGTTGCAAACTATGTAATACTCTAGGCCATCCAGCTAAATGTCCTATCATGACTCCTTCCTTGTCAGCATAGGTTACAGTAATTTGTGCCTGTAGGTTTTCAAAAAATCAGAAAAAACATACCAAGGTCTGTAATTGATCCCATACTCAAAAATACATATAGTGATACACACAATATTCTGGTTTGTATTTGCCTTACAGGCAATTCCAGAAAACAGTCGACAGTTTTGGAAATTCGTAAAACGTTATTTATAAATGTGTTTGCTATTTAATTGCTAAACTATATTCATTTATTTCAGTGGTGTTATACCCCTACAGTAGAATTTGTTGATCCTTTGTCTTAGTCATCTGCCTTCTCTGAAATACGGTATTCTGAAATTAAATTTGGAAAATTTGCTTGCAAAATTTATCACACTTTGTTTCACATTCCCATCCCTGGGGAGCTCTGTGTGTGTGTCATTACAGTATGAGGTTTTTATTAGGCTTCTGGTAGGTAAAATTGGGTCTTTGAAACAACTGCTACAATTGTGTATTTATGGTACCACCATGTGCAATGATGTTTGGTTCTGAAAATACCATATTCTACATAGGACAAATTTGTCAGCCACAGTGTTTTTTCTTTTTTCAGCCATTTTGAGATTAGCAAATGCTCTGAGTGGCAGTACAATATTTTCAGGTGCCATTTTTGAAAAGCTGAAGTTCACTGGTAGAGATATAGATGGCATCATTGTTAATACTGCTCTGTCACCTGTGAAGAGGAAACAAGGTGTCACTTTTTTCTAATAGTTTGGGAATATTAGTAAGTATTACAATATATATAATCATTTAAAGACTACAGATTCTTACAAAGAAAGATAAGTACAGACCATTTCTTAGTCTGAAGACTGCGGTTCCCAAAAATAAATATGTTTAATAATCTCTGTATGTTTTTAAATCTTGTATTTGAGGTTTTCTCAGAAGTCGTGTTTAAAGCTCTTAATGTAGAGAAAGTTGTGAAAGGGGTATTTTACAAGACCTGAAGGTATTCTTTGAACAGACTTGAAAAAAAACAGTCCTTGATAAATTGCTCTTGAGTAATAGTTTGTTGCTGCTGAAGAGGAATGTTTCACCCCCACCAGGTGTTTTCACCCTTCCCTTGTGCCAGCAGGAGTAAGAACTGATCTGGTTGGAAACTAAAATATGAAAAAAAAAAGATTGATCCAGCTGCTTACATAGCTACACAGATACTAATTAGTACCCAACAAGAAAGGAGGTGGTGAAAAAGGCTGGAACTCCCCCTTTTTGTATAGGCTGGGTTGGCTAAAATATAAGGCTAAATAAGATGTTCTTAGTATTGTGGTCCCAAATAGAATTATTAGCGTTACTTTGTGGAAAAAATACTTCCGTTTTCCTTTCTGTGTGATGGTTAGGGTGACAGAAGGAACATGAAGACCTGAATATGAACAGTAAAGCATCATTGAAACACTGATATTTTAGTAAAGAACTACATTTTAATACTGTTTGCAGCGTTCCTCGTGATGAATGATTGTTATGCATGTGAAATAGCCCAAAAACTAAATAAGAACAAAATGGTTTGTTTTTTAGCTACAAGAGATTTTCAGGAAAAAAAATGAGAAGAGAGAAAGAAAAGGAGATGAAGAAAAACGTGCAATGCTGGTAAGTAAAATTGGAATAGTTGCAGCTGGTAGTTGGTTGGTTTTCTTCTATGTAGGACAAAATTGTGCGTGTGTATATATTTCAGTAATCACTTTTGAATTTTATTTAAATAATAAATTCATATAATTAAAAGAATATGTATAACTATATA